TTTCACTATGTCCGCACACAGTTTGGCATTTATTCAAGCGAGTCGGTGTACACAGCATTTGCAGCGTTGGTATCCTGCAACATGTTCATAAACCCAATCATTTACTGCTTCATGTACGAACATTTCCGAGCTCAGCTGAAGGTGGTTCTCCGGAAAGGATTTCGACGAAACCGAGTACATGACGGGCGACATCCTCCCCGTGTCGCTCTGGGAGCAGCTAACGCAGAGGATAATGATCGTTCGTAGGTGCATGCTACCAAGCCGATCAACGTCTAAAATGAGAGACTTGCACAGAATTAGTATTCACCATCTTTTGCTCCAGTAAAACTAAAGAAAGGCACGACATTATTGCAGATTAATATAGCAGGTGATTATAAAAGCGAAGCAAGTTTGAAATCACGAAAATTTATTCGCAACAAAATTAAAGTTCGCTCGAGTTGAAAATAATATATGTTCATTTTTTGCGAAGTCACGTTTGTGTTCGCTATCGCGTCAAGTATGAAAACCGGCCTTCAGATGCTGCTTCTTACGTGCCATTAAAATAATGCACCCCCTCAATCGTCTGTTGCTTTCCAAAGTCAGACAAACCGGACTTCAAGCCGACGAGTAGAGGATACTCCCTTTCATGCCATCAACGGGACAGTCTCTGGCGGTAGCGAAAACCCCTGAACCACTCGTCACAGGGAGTGAAAACGAGGCAGTGACCTCTAAGGGACGTCGCAGTAAGATGGCGAACTGAAGTCCACTTGAGGCATCAGTGAATTAACTCCAGTGCAATTCGTACACTAAAAAGTACAGTTTTGAATAGCACAAAAGGGACCCGAATCCACATTTTAAAAACCCCGCTAGTGTACTCCTTGACGGGACTTATGTCTGTTGTGTAAGGCCAGTGTATGTTCTATCACAGCCTGTGGCTTATATGGTATTGATTCATTTGGCTAAAGCTTGTCAAGAAAACAATAGGCCTATATTCGTCTTGCCTCCATTTCACTTGAAGCACTACGCTTTACTCCAAATGTTATTTGTACCACAGTTTTGATGTCGCACTGTTACGAATATTTTAATGTTTGTTTGCAGTTATATGAACATTTCGTGTTATACATAAATATTTACACTTGAAAATCACATGGAAAAGCAAATTGAGCTTCACTCTGCCGAACTGAAAAACGGACCTGTAATTGTGCACAAAGGGAAAATATGTAATCTGTCTTGCCCTAAGGAAGTGCTTGAGAACTGAATCTAACTCCGGAAGAGACATTTTGTGAGCCGAGCTTATATTTGGGGGATTCTATTGCGACGCGAGTCAGCTTGCGTCCCTCGCTGTCGGTCCGTCTATTTCTAGCCATTTGCTGGAGGTGAGTTCGCCTTGCGTCCGCGGAGTCATCCTTAAGTCGCCCATGAGATCACATAAAATCTGTTCATGTCCAAACCTAATTACTGTACATAAGCATAACCCAATCATTGTTGTGCACTAGCAAGTTAACCTACTCATTGCACATTTCTGTTCAACCCATGACCGAATTCGAAGTGTTTATTACATGTATTCTCAGTAATATGCTCGGTAATATAAATTCACATTGTTTCCTGTGTTCTTTATATCAGCGTGATCTCGTGTGATTTCTTTGCAACACTATGATGTGAGGAAAAACAGGCTTCATTTGCATTACAGTTCGGAGATCTTTCGGATCGTAACAATGGCTTTCCTCATCGGGGATTACGCGCTCGTGAGAAGATGGCAAATGAAACAGGCCCATCCTGTAAAAGTTAACTTGGAGATTGCTTACAGACAATATTAGGAAATGGCAGCATATACCTTGAAAGAGGGACAATTTTAATCCTCTCTGATTTTGTTACTGCGTGGAACGAAATGGTCTTTTCTGCAATGTAAAACCTCAGCAGTGGCCAGAACCATGCCGAATATTATGGAAAACAAAATGTGTCACTAACCTGTCGTCTACCATCTTTGAACATCTCAAATGACCGCACCTCGGCAAATGTCAGGTTGGTCTAGTTTGAAACAAATATATTGTTGGGACCCATGTACATATTATATCCAGCAGGAGCGGGGATCCTGGTGGATGGGGGGTATATCTCCCCTGCCCCACACTTGCTGAAGTTGTCGATATAGTTATCCCCACACTTTTCAAGTCAGAGACTATAATGCACACCCTTAGCCTGCACCACCGACTACGCGCTTGTCGGCGGGACGATCTCACCTGGGATGGAGGCCGCCCCCATTTTACCATTGCTATTTTAGATCACACCCTCCTTTTGAACAATCCTGGATCCACCCCTAGTTGGTGGTTGGTGCGTTACTGTCAGATCCCTTTCTGCACCCTCGGCCATTTGAACGTATTTCAGCCGAGCAAAATAAAGAACTAGCAAGATGTGTATGCAGAGGAGCGAGGGGACAGGGGCCATGCTTGCGCCCCCTGCTTTTTTATATAGAAAACTATAGCCATGCCCTTTATTTTCAGTTCACTGAGTTCAGTTCAGTTCACTTTATTTTCCACATAATATTACTCTACAGAAACAGTTTCACAAAGGGTATATATGTTGATGGGGGGCCCCAAGAAGCAGTGCTTGTCAAGTGGGGGTCCCCAGTTACGAATAAACAAAGTTCCACAAAGACAATACACTACAAATAACACAACAAATATTACATACAACACATGACCACGTAGCCTTTGCCAGCTGCAACCCCGTGAGAAAGAAATTAGTCATTACCCTTTTTTCCAAAAGTGATTAAAAAGCACCAAAATGTCGCCTCGAACTCAGAAAGGCCACAAAAGTTACATTGAAAACATTCGAAAACTTTTGCCCCCTCCCCCAAATGATGACAAAAAATGATTCCCGGTCTGTCCTCTGAAATGAAAAGGAACATTATGTCGGATTTGGATCGGGGTTTTGCCTGCGGATGCTCCTCTAATCTGGTCTGACGCACATCGTCTGCACTGAAGATCAGGACATTTATATAACGGGTTTTTGCCCTTACCCAACGTATATACAAAAATACATCTTGAAAAAAAGATCAGGACAGTCATATCTTGCGTTCCCCCCACCACAGGGACCACGGCCTTCGCGCGCACCATTGTTTGGTAAAGGCGCCCCCAACAGGTAGTTCAAAGACAGGCAAAAGGGGCGGTCCAAAATGGCGCACGTTTCTGGCGACTGGAACCCTTTGGGGGAAGTGTTTTACAGGTAGGGCCTAAATGCTGGCACCTCATCTTTTACTTCTGACAAATGTTTGTCTTTGCGTTTATCTCCTGATTATTGAGTGAGGTAAAAACAAGGAGAAGGACGAATAGATAGACAGGTCTATGCTTGTTATGGTCCTCTACTTTGGTCCCGTTTCCGGACTCGACTCCGTTCAATGGAGCTAGGCCTACATAGTACATGTACATATGCAATCACACGTAAGAAGCCAAACCACGGTTCACAACCATGCACAATGCATGACATATAGATGCCCAACCAACTATAAAAACTTCACATGTGAAATTAGGCTCCTGTAACATTCAGGCTTTATTTTCCTTAAATAAAAATTCCTCCCTGCACCCCTGTCTACAATTTCAACCCAGGATTCGAACCCGCACCCCATGCATCACAAATCATTAGCATTACTTAGGCCTATGCTGTAACCGCTTGACCACCGCAATTCACAAAAGTTGGTGGTGTTTTTACTTTTAATATACCGATAAACGGCTGCAACGCAAGTCGATTACACATTGGACATGCGCATTAGACATACGGGGACTCAGGTTGACATGGAAGTTCTTTCCTCGCCTTCCACCTCTGTGGTCCAAGGTTCGATTCCCGGCCTGGTCCACATGCAGACATGTGGATTGGGTTTTCAGTCCCTGCCTGACTCAATGGGTTTTACCCAGAATATTCCTCTGGGGTTTTCTTCCCACCTCCTAAACTGTCACTGCTTCTTACTGTCTCCCCTTTACTGATGTTGGTGAGTGTGGGTCGTTTGGCAGCTGCCCAAGGCGCCCTTGTATGCCATTGGCTCAACCATGTTTAAATGTATTCATTGCTCCACGCTTAATGTGTTCATTGTACAGCGCATTTGAACATATACATATGAAATTTGTGCTTTATAAATGAATAAATTATTTTTATTATTTTTAATGCAAACACACCCACTGTGGTTTGGCTTCATATGATATATATCTCGTTCAGTGTCACGCCAGCATTTCCAGTCATTGTCACTACTATCACTCAGACTGTCCAAGCACCTTGTTCAGCTCCAGCATGCGTTGTTAGAGGTGCCGCGATGTTGGCATCTCCTTTCCTGGTCACACACTAAATTGAAGTTTTTTAAACGAATGGTGGGGAAGAGTTCCATGAGCCTAGGCCTACATGATAGGCCTACATGTATATCATATATTATATGGACGCCCGTAATTATTCCCTACAGTGATTCATTAGCCATCAACAAGCAAAAACATGTCCTGAAAAGTTCAATTTAGGAGGGAAAACACCAAGTCACTTAGAAAACATTTAGAATTTTTACGACCAATCATAGGGTTTGTGCAATTTCCCAAATACTCCTCTGTCTCAAAGAGCTACAGTATCTCGCGTTCAAATCACTCATAGGCCTAGGCCTACAAGTTAATTAACCCTTCCTCTTTCACTGTCCCACGGTCATAACTCCGGTTTAGAGATTGATGGAGCTTCTTTGTTATAAAATAAAGGTAACTTTTGTTAAATAAACAGGTGGGGAAGATTCCTTCTAACATTTAGAACAATGTGCTGCTTCCTACATGTACGTGAACATGTTTATGTGTAAGAAAAAAGAGCCCTATTTCAGTTGTATGGTCCGCTGGTATTACACACAATTCCATTTGTTTAAGTGGTCTTTACCTGTATATTTCAAGGGTACCCGGTTACCCAGTTTTCACATAAAGCAGATACCCGGTTCCAAAAATACCTGTAAACGCACACCCCTATTCCCTAATTTGGCGCACTTAAAAATCCCACGTAAACATTTACAGAATCCCTTGAAGTTGATAAATTCTTGTGACTCATCATTACTTCCACTTAAATACATTTAACCATCCACAAGTTTGTGAGAATTTTTTCCCATGTTTGGGGCATATTTTAAAAGTTCATTTCACATGTCGGAAAAAAAATCAGAAAATCGAGAGAAAATAAAATTTCATCCGAAATTTGTAGCAAGTGCATAAAATTGAAATTTCTGAATCAGAATTCATGTATGACAAATTTCATGAAGTTTCACTTATCATGAAATTTGAGCTTAAGCAAAATTGCTCTGTTACAACACAAAAAGCTACAAATGAAAGTACACCACGTTAGGGGCCACGCCACATTTAGGTACATCATCAGTAGGCCTATAAGCCTGCATGTAAAACATTAAATTCGTCAGACTCAGCGTTCCCAACAAATAGGGGTGGTCGATTGAATTGTTAATCCATTACCATCAATTAGTACTAGGTTTTTTTGGGTCTAGTAGGCCTTATAATTAATAGGCCTATCATTCAACTACATGAAGGCCTGCTTTCAGAACTGTAAGCCTGGCATGCGTAGGTTTTACCAAACATCACAGATAGTTAGTCTGAGCAACTTGGACTCTGTGAATTGAGTCTTTAAACATTTCAACATGGTCAGTGAAGCGATAGTAGAGTCGTGGAACCTTTTGTCGGCTTTCCCTACTGTCGAATGATTTCACGCAAAATAGATCCTACCCCGAATCAAAATCCTCAAGATTTCACCCCCAAAGTACAGTAGTCCTTATGCTGTCTATAAAGTGTCTAATGTGGCCACTTTCGGATTCACACATCAGACATTTGCACGTGTGAAGTTTTTCATGTGCCGATAGCAATCCGTTGTTTAGTGGTCACGGTGAAATGTGTTAAAGCCTTATAAATTTTATGCTGGAGTTATCTTGGAACTGGATACATGTAGGCCTACAGTACTTTTCAAACCTCTGGAATGGTTCTTCATGTCTTTGTATCGATGATGTACAGTGTACTTCCATCATCCAATGGTGTGGTCTTTAAGAATATAGTCAAATTTCCGAAAACAAAGATGTATAATAAAATTGTGAACTCAGCAATGTTTACATGGTACATGTATACTTCTGTACATGTACTACATATGTACAAAAAACGTACGTTGCTTCTGACTGGAGCTATTAAGATAGCAGGAAATATTACATGTATAGCCATTTCATGTTTTAGCCCAGGACGGCTCATTGATGACGAGATATTCTGGTGGCCAGTAGGGTAAAAAGGAGAGTACTATAAGAAAAACTGGCACTGCCCAGTGTGAATGAGAGATTTCGATCTCAGCCTAACCACAGTCATCCATGATAATGTACCAGCACAACTGTGTTTGCTGCATACATGTACATGAAGCGTCAACCCCAGTCAGATGTGAGGTTATCGCTATGTGGTAGTAACCATCGATCGCATTCTGCCCCTGGTTGAACATACATATACCCTCACTTGATGTACATGCAAGTAAAGAGTAATGGAGAGTGTTCGACGAGAATAAGAAAAACCAGCATTGCCTAGGATAACTGTGCAAGTCAGATCTTAACTGTAAGTTTGTACTGTATATATACATGTACATGAACCGGTAGGTTGGCCATGTACTTGCATTATTTCCTGCATACTGTACATGTACACCCACATGTAAGTCAGAATCAAAATTTGTGCTTCATAATAGAAAGAGGTTAAATTCTCCCCCACCCCTTGCAATATGATCAGATATGATAACCAGCCATGGATTGGGTTTGTGGCCAATTATCATGTTTATTGTTGCTGTTATGCAAGCCACCGTTAAAAGAAAAAGAAAAACAGCCCTGAGTTTTCATGCAAATTTGCAGAAAATTGGAGTTGTACAGTATGGACAGAAGCTGGCAAGAGATCGCCGAACTCAAGAAATTCAAGGTGGCCGCTGCTCCATATGGAGGGCCCATTGGTAAGAAAGGGTGCTGTTAATGTCCGTGAATTTTATTCAAAATATTGTTTCTCCCTATTATTTACATGTATGTGTCCTTTGTGTAATGAAGAATAAGTTTGATTTCTATGAAACCACTGTGGATTCTTTTCATCTTCCTCTTCATGAGGAATGAAGAAAACACAGCCCCATGCCTGCCTACATATACATGTACTAGGAAGTTAATATCACACGGCAAGTCCCAGGTCCATCAAAATCCATCGTGGGATTTGGGAAGATTTTGTTGGGTTGAGAAAGGAACACAAAGTGGCACCACTGCATACGGTAGAGGTTGAAGCGGTTCATGAAAAGCTTATGCCTAAAGAATGTGCTGCCCATTTCCTATGAACTTTAAAATTTCTCCTGTTGTTAGAGTTTGAAATGGAATGAAGGGCAGATTGCTCATTTTTGGACTTTTGTGCTCGTCATACCAGTTAGACGTAGATTTTCTAAAGTCAAATGTAAATTATCGCATGAACACGGTGTGCACGGTGTGTGTTGGAGGTACAATGTACTTTGCTTATAGTTGTCTGTTTAAAACTTTCTGACAGCTCTTGTTCGTGATGAAAGCAAGATGACACATGTCCGCGGAGGCACCCGCCCCACCATCTACATCTACACATCGTCTGGGCGAGAAATCTCACAGTTCAGGGTAAGCAGCATTCTCAAGGCAGTTCTCAGAATTAAAGCTGAATTCTCAGTGGAAGTATTTGTACATGTACTTGCTGGTAGACAGAAAACTCACAAGGGTTGACTTAGCATGAGAAAGTCTATTGTGTGTAGTGTGTTCTCACACCGAGGCTGGTATTGAGAGATCTAATAGGCCTAGTACATGTACATGTGTCTGCCATAGTCATTTGACCAAATCTGAAGGAATTCCTCCCATTTTCAAAATTGGTCAAAATCTTGTCAAAATTGCTCTAATCTCACCAAATGTTGTGTCTCCATCCTCCAGAGACAATCATTTTGCCACCTCCTGAACACAACATGATCAGTTGGCAGCTTTTGACCAATGAAAAGCATTGGTGTGTCACCCATTTCCCACTAATATTGTATCGCATTGTTTAACATTGCCTCTGATTGGTTGGCAGAAGGCGTTACACTTTATATGTACATAAAAGTATTAGAGGAGTGTTAGAGGACAGACTGTGGTGAACAAATGTTATTTAAACTGGGGCCCCCTTTCACAGCACTGCTAAGCACACAATTTTTCACTAACAGGGGCTCTGTGTATTTTTTAAAGACCGTACGCAGTAAGCACAGCCAAAGGCATGCTTACCTTGGAGGCAAAATTTGCTTAATGATGTGACAAATCTCTGCTCATGGCGCCGTAAGCACAACCATGCCGAGCACTGCCATGGTGCTTGCAAAATTTTCTGCTATTGTAAGCACAGATTTTCTGCTAACTGTTAAAGCAGCATCAAGGAATCGGGCCCCGAGGTCTGGTATTGGATGCCAGGTAATTTATTCAGTGAGGTAGCAAGTCTGACTGGCGGTACACCTGGTTGCGATATATACTCTCTCTGTTGTCTTGTATTGGCAGTGGGACAGTGGCAAGTTGCTGCATATGGGGTGGTCCAGCTCGGAAGACTTGCTCTGTGTCCAGGAAGACGGCACAGCCCTGGTCTATGACATCTTCGGTAGCTTCAAGCGAAATTTTAGTTTAGGGCAGGTAAGCACACTAACTCAAATCCTCCCACGTCTTGTCAAAGGCGTTGGGTGGCCCTTAAAGAGGATTTTGCTAGATTGAGCGATGCACCAGAGAGCCCAGCAACTGTTCCACAGTGGCAAAGGAATGGGCTAGTGGTTTCCCGGACAGACACGATTATTGGATTATCCCCAGGGATTCTTTGCAGATATGCCGAGAGTTAATATGCATCTCGTTGTACACATTTGTTGATTCTTTTTCATGCCTTTTCTTCTGTAAATTTGGCACTTACAGCTTACAGTTTAAGAGGCAATCTTCACCTCTCTTTAACGAGAACCATTACGAGTAGACACCCTAGTCTCTTTTCCTCTATCATCTCAGTGTTCAGATCAATTTAAAAGTGACCCAAGATCAAAGTTAAGGGAAAAGCCAGTATTTCTATCAGCCTAGTCTTGGGGTGTCTTTCTTTCTTTTTTTTTTTTAGATTATTTTACTTTAAACTTTGACACATCTCAAGGACATATATGATAATTAACTCTCAGGGGATTAGTTTTACTTGCGTTTTGTATGTACCCAAAAAGAGGAAATCTCACAGAGGGAGGCTGGAGGTTTTACGGTGTCGAGCCATCGAACCTATTCCTCGCCAATGGCCAGTCCACACCCCATCCTTCAGTAACTTTGGATAAAAATAATCCTTCTGCTTTTTTTACCTTCTTGTGAATGTGATATTTTTTTTATTCACCTACTGCTTTGCTCCCATTGATCTGTCCTTTTACCAGGAAGCCCGTGATACCAAAGTTGTAGAGTGCAAGATATTTCAGGGCTACGTGGGCACAGGATTGGCCATACTGACGGGCAGCTATCGATTCTTTGTGATCAATAATATCGACGAGGGACACAGCCGAAAGATGGTTGAAGTGCCCGGTAGGCTACCTTGGATTATATGACTTTGCCATTTTGGGATCACCCAAACCCCATAGCATGGAGAGTGTTCCAGTGTAACCCTACTGTCGTATACATGTAGTGTGTCATCCTTTTTGTTTGTCATTTGTTACACTTTTTGGCTGTGCTCTGACACCTGTCAGTGTTTATTGTTATTACTCAATTCCAGTTTCATGTGACAGAGAAATATGAGAATCGGAATCTTCCAGTGTCAAAGGATTTTTCTGCACACTCAAGGGCCTCAGCCCTGACCCCCTAGGCTTTTGTGCAAGAAACAGTTCTGGACCCTTTTCTATCTGCAAGGGGTCACTTTCATTGTTGGCATGTGGCTGAACAGAATAACTCCAACAGGTCGACAGTGTTGAAGTTTGAGTCATTTGGGATGCATAGGTCTCTGCAGTGTACCATTGACTTGCAGACTAGACAAAATCAAGCACGGTCCAACACGTGGTACCACTAGCCGGTCACTCCACGGAGCAACCGCTTTGTGTCCCCACTCAAACAAAAATCCCACACCACCGCCCTAGTCCTTTGTTCCTCAATCCAACTAAGCTGATCAACCATTTCATAATGCCTGGTACTGTATCAGCCAAGACCTGACAAAAACCTACAGGTGGAGTTTGAGAGACCTCAGGTAGTTAGGATTACCGTAAAATAACAATTTTGCTTAACCAAATGACGTTAGCCCTGCAGCGGCATCAGTGGGTACATGTAGCTTCTCAGTTGGAAAGATCAACCATCACCAAAGTCAAAACCGCTCAAGTTAGTGGCTTTGGAACACTGGACTGTCACTGATATTTCCCCCCCCCCCCGGCCTCTTATCCAACTCCTCAGGCTTGGACTGTCCACCGAGCAGTTGGGGCATCATCTGCCGAGACAGACACACCCAGATCTTACTCGCCAAGGAGAAGCAGCTGTTCCTGGTGGACTACACAGATGCGCACGAGCAGGTGGGTGTCCAGTGTTAAGAGGGAAGCAACCATGCAGGCATTTCTGACTTCCACTTGTAACTACTCACCAACGGTACTTTTCCTTGCCACCATGGACCATTCCAAAAACAAACATGTCCCAAGCATAGTATAATTTTTGGCCGGAAAAACCAACATTTTACATGTAAACGTGCCCACACTACATGTAAAGTCCTTTAGTAAACTTGGACTTTCCAAACAGTGAACCTTAGTCGTTAGTTGTTCAAAGTTTGTGTGACATTTCTGTACTACCATATCATCAAAATCTGTGACCAAGTTATGGAGCAATGTTTACTACAATGCCCAAGTGTGACCCACAGCCACTCAAGAGCTCTGGATGTACTCAACCTCCCCAGACTAGTGAAAGACCTGTTAGAGACGGTGCAGTTTTGGAGACAGTTGACTTGTTTGGTCTTGTAGTCGGCTGCATTGTTACAGCATCAACTGTTGCATATTGTTTTGTTTGGGGGAAGGTTAGTAGTTACTATCCAAAGGACCCTGGAGGGTTAGGCTTGATATTTCTGGTTCCCTGGCCAACGTCAGTGCAATCCTAAGCTTGCACTGTGTTCATTTTTATCTTCCCGCATTTTGACTCAGGCACTAGAGACCAGAAGTCCTGTGAATGCTTTCATTGAGATGGCTGTGTCTTTCGATAACCGTCTCCTAGCTCTGTTTGCTGATACGGGCCTTCTGTGGATTGGCTCATCTGACTTACAGGTAAAATACCCCCCCTCCCGTGAAACTCCTGTCCAAACACCCACCCATTGTTGAAGTCAAGGCCATCGCCAGACCAGGCACAAGACCAGTCACACCACCAGGTATAAGACCATTCATGAGACCAGTCACAAGTACTGTAACAGCTACAAAGTAATGCTGTTGTGGTTTATAGTAATATGTTCTTTCATTGAAACCTAACGAACCTTACCTTAGCAGGGCTAGCGGTATGAATTATGAGTGACACGGCCACAGTGCAGTAAAGCTGAAGGCATGTATGAAAGGCACCTTGGGCAGCTTCAGGACAGCCAATATCTGCCCACAAAGTGCAGCCAGAGATAGAAAGTGATTTTTTTTTTTTTTTTGCGGAGGGGGAAAAACTGGAGAACCCCGAAAATAATTCTTGTGGCACAGGAGAGAATCAAGGAGCATTTCACATGCAGCCTTGGCTGGTAATCAAACCGGATTGACAGTGACGAGAGGTGAGCGCTCCAAACAGTATAGTAGCCGCCCGTGACACCCAGGCATGCGATCTAAATTGAGACTGGAGGTCTTGTGTTGGTCTTGTTAGCTCTTGTGACGTTCTTAAATGGTTTTGACTACAACGCTGTACCCACCCCTACGCTCCTCTGTTATCCCCGTTTTCACCTCATGCCTAACTGGTTCACTGAGAGGTTACTGTTGAGCCCATAATTCATGGCTCTGTTCCTGACTGAATTCACAAGAATACATTCACAGGGTTTGCTCTGTCGGAACTCAAACCCACAACTCCCTGCTAAGTATTGCAGCCGTAACAACCAGAATTCCTCAGTCAAATTAATTCCTGGTGTTGTGTGTGGTGTCCAGAAGAATTGGTTACACTTAGCATGTTTTTCAGCAGGAGAATGGTTGACATCTTGTTTTGTAAATGTTTTGTAAAAGTAAAGTCCATCACAGTTCCAGTCCGAAGTTCTTTCACAAGTCTTGACACAGGTCCTGTCGCAAGGCAAGTCACAAGTCGCAGGATGAAGAGTGACGACACCTCTGCTATCGGTCATTTGAATAGCTTTTGACTTGGCTTAAAGACTGGATGACCTGTGATAGACTCAAACAGTGACCAGTGGTGGACACAACTGCAGCTCCAGAAATGAACTGACTCTACTTTTTCATACTTTTTTTTCGCATGTATTTTGATATTTGGAGTGGGACTTAGATTTAGTGAGAATTGACGTTTTTTGGGGGGATGACCGTGTTTTTCTGTTGGCAGAAGGTGTACTGCGAGTTTGACACCAAGAGCCAGGTGAGACCCAAGCAGCTGGCCTGGTGTGGCACGGGTGCAGTGGTGGGATACTGGGAGAATCTCCTCTTGGTCATCGGGCCTCACAAGGACTGGATCAAATATCCTTCACGAGGTCAAGCCTGGGTTGGCGGGTCTGGCTGTAGTGGTTAGGGTTCGAGACTCCCGGCCGGGGGGGGTCGGAGGTTCGAATGCGGCCGCTGTCGGTTGTGTCCTTGGACAGGCCAGTTCATTCCCTCTTGCCTCTCTCATCCCAAAAGCAGAAATGGGCACTGGCTTAATAAGCAGGGAAGTACTAAACCCACGCAGGATTTGCATCCCACCCAGGGGGAACAGAAATATTTGCAAGGGTTTCACCCTATTAACATCAGCGATAAGCGCTTGCCTGATGGGCCACCTTGGTTTGTGAAAGACTCAACTATTCATAATTTCAAGTAGAGAAAAAAAGAGAAATTAAATATTGTCTGAAGAAGTTAATTTGTTGAAACAGTCACAGAATGTCAAAGATTCTACCCACTTCTCCATGCTGTATTCTAATGTACATAAAGACATCATATGTCACTCAAGTTTGACTGGAACGACAGGTGTCTCAGTCTTTAGAACATGCATCGTGCTTAGGAGGGTTAGGAAATAGAAGTTAATGCTTATATTTCACCTTGAATCAAATGCTACCAATGGGGACAAGTTTCTGGCTTTCTGAGTTCAGACACATTCTACAGCTCTGAAAATTTCAAAATAGGTACAATGTATGTTCAAACCTCTCCAAAGATTCTGAACTAATTTGTTTACCTTCCAAAGCTTTAATTTAACACTTCCCATTAATGGTCAGGGTCTTAATAATTCCTGTCTGCAAGCTTATTGCATTATGGGAAGCAATAGGCCTACTCGTTTTTCTCAATTTAGTCCCATGTTTTCCATTTGCCATGATGTTTTTGTCAGTATGTTTGTTCATTGGAGTAGTATGTTTCTTAACTGACCAATCACGTTCAACATGGACAGTGATGCGTACTTAATTCCAGAAGTGGACGGTGTGCGGATCGTGGACACCTTCACTCACGAGTTGCTGCAGAGAGTTCCAGGTATAAAGGCCTCGTCCCCTTCCTCGGCTTCACAAAAAAAGTTGATGTATCAACTTGCAAAGCATTAGCCTGCATCCTAATGTAATGGCTGTGTCTTGACATAACACTACAGTACATGCAACAGCAAGCCGTAGCCCATTGATTTGGACACAGTCTCCGTTAACAGCTTAAATTGTAGCGCCATGTGATTATGTGAAATGTGTTCCTTGCACACGGAGATGCTAGAGTGCATTCTCACCCTCATGCAGAGTTTGTTCGCACTTGCCAAACGCCATGAGCAACTGATGCGCCGCTCCCCCAACCTGGGAGAAAATGTCCGTCTAAGAACTTTGAGTCAAACATTTAACATCATGAAAACTGATGCGTTGGGGCCCATTTTCACAGATGCAATGACTGAATGCCACACAGTATGAAGATAAAACATAGAACACACGGGTGTCCCAGGGGACTATGTGTTTTTACAATGAGAGCGGACAAGCCGCACTGTGGGATGATAAACAGCTGTGTTTAGAAACCTGAACGATATTTCCGAGACACTGGACTGAGACTGCACCTTCTTGCCAGTCGGAGTGATGCTACAGACTGACCGGCAAGGACGAGCTCTCCTTGTCATGCCTTCGGTTCTTCCTGTGGGTGCTGTCGCTCTTTTGGACTGTCACTAACATAATTTGCACACCAAGTGTATTTACACCTAATGTTTACATGTAGATGTCAAATATTGCTCTGTGGACTCCTTTCTGTCACTGCATGTCCGTGTGAATGGGCCCTCAAATTTCCTAGCTTTCTTGTTCCAAACCCCTGAAAGCATAGGCAAACGTGATAAAAATTACTGACCATTCCCAAGAAAAATCAACTTCGCCTTCGTAAGTGTGGCTGAATGTGTAATTTTTTTGAACCATATCTACAAAGCCTAAAGTCGTTTGTTTATTTATTTACTTTCTCTGTCTTTATTTGTCTCAGTTGTCGTGGAGGAGATCTTCAAGATTGGCTCCATGGCTCCGGGAGCGATGCTGTTTGAAGCATCAAAAGAGTTCCAGGTATGGTAGTTTTTTGTAGCTTTTTCCTGATCTTTTTTTCCCCTTTGTTTCATTTCAGCAAACAATAAAAAACTCTTCTGAGAGTGACTTCCAACGAAGGAGTCAAAAAGTCTTTTTGAATCGTTTGTCCCGCTGTTTTTTAGAAAGAAAGTCAGAGGGCAGACGAGTACATCCGCATGGTGAAGGACCAGCTGCCATTGGCTGTGGACCAGGCCATCGAGGCCGCTGGGTGTGAGTACGAACCCGCGACGCAGAGGATGCTCCTGAGGGTGGGTATTCTATTCAGGCCTTGACCCTTTTTTTCTCTTCCTCTGCACCCCTTACCCTCGCTTGGACCCTAAATACACCCTCTGTGGCCATAAAACTGTCTTTGAGAAAATTTGTACCAAAAAGTCAAAAGGCTTCCATCACTAGCTAGGTCTAAAAAGCAGGCTGTCTTTCGTTCATGACCTGTGTGGGTTTAATTAAACTTTTTTGTCCATTTCCGACAAAATCTTACTTAAACTCGAGCACTGCTTGAGTGCCTAATCTAACAGGTTCCCCAGTGCACATTTAATGTCATTATGCACTCTCTGCAGCAGCGTACATATATCGTCAGATGAAGTTCATCAAGAGACTAACAAATGCATGACAAGTCAACTTTTGATCTGCTATCACTGGTACTGGGGCTGTCACATGCAGGGTGTCGAAAACATTGATAGTGCAGACAAGTTAGTTACAACACAGCTGGTATTACACATAAGAAGTAGGTCGATGGTACTCAATTTAAATTTTTAATGTTTGTTTGTCGCACTATTTCACAGAGAACGTCCAGTGTCGGACAAAAAAAATCCTCCCAAACTCCCCAATGTCAGCTACTGTAACTACAACCAGCGCACCATGTTTTATCACTGTGTTGTTTTTCACTGGTTCCCCCACTGCCCCCTCCCTGCCCCTCACCACCCGTGACAGGCTGCGTCTTTTGGAAAGTGTTTCCTGACCAACATGGGCCCCGAGAAGTTCGTCAACATGTGCAAGCTACTCCGAGTTCTCAACTCGGTCCGGGAGTACCACGTGGGCATGCCGCTCAGTTATGAACAGTATCCTTGATTGACGTCGGGCAAAGGTTGTCGATCAGCCTGGGCTTATTTTGTACTTGTAGAGTAGCTGAACAGGAGGCATTCCCCTTTGCAAGGCACAACAAAGAGGGCATTTAGTTCAATCCTAGGTGACTTCCTTAACTGTTTGCCACAGACTCAAGAGACTGACATTGCCAGTGCTGATCGACAGGTAGCAGCACGCTTTATTTCAATTGTCTCCATTAATTAATTAACAAGTTGCCATTTTGGAAATGGATGCCGGTTTCAACTCACACCCTGTACCATGTATACCCATGTGATGAGTGTAGAATTTTACATACTAAGTCTGCATCATGGGTTTTTTCCTTCAGAATTTTCGTTTTCCATGCACATCTGTACATTGAGAAAGGTCATCATTCTAATTGCGCACATTGCCTTGGAGCTAAGATTGAAATGTCCGGGCCTCCGAGTTTTAGGCCCTGTATATTCTAAGTCACTTCAGTCAGTAAGCAAGGGCAGATCCAGATCCAAATTTCCTTGAAATCCCTTTGTGTAACCTTTTATGACCATTTTGGAGGGGGCGAAGCTAAATTCAGAGCCTTTTACATACTTCCTTTTTTTTTTTCAAAACCACCATTCTTTTGCTCCATTTTAGGGGCGATGGCACCTGTTACTCCCAACTCCAATCTGCCAGGATCAGTAAACTATCTCATGTACCTGTCCTTGTCTGTTAGGTTGATCCTACGTCGTCAGTGGTGCCTTGCCATGCACATTAGTCGCTTCCTCAAACTGCCTGAAGCCGACGGAGAGAGTAGAATACTGGGACACTGGGCTTGCTATAAGGTGGGTTAGTCTCTTGCATCTTAAAGGACCTATGTAGGGCAATTTTCAAATCAAGTCCTTGTTATGCTCCTTTGTACCCCCATTTAATCCTACTGGTTTTTTTTTTGTTTTCTGCTGTTTTCAAGGCTATTTATTTTGCTGTTTTCAAGGCTATTTATTAGCATTTGGGGGGGTATGCAAGTGTAAATTTGCATATTCACAAGCATGATGTCATTCCAGGAAGAAACTTCAACACTGCAGCTACATGTGCGTGTACTTCAGCCCCAGTATTGGCCAGAAGTTTGGATATTTCGCTGTCTTAGCTTTTCTTTGACCCTGAGTACATCTATCTGTGCGTTTTGACACACGGCTCATTTTCCAGGAAGCTCTTATCCCCAGTTCTATATTTTACTCAAATGATCAATGGTACCAATACCTGAGGCTTCCCTGTTGCATGCAAAGGTCTTGCAGAAACATATCGCCGACGAGAAGATTGCCCAAGACATCAAGAGCAAGTTGGACACCGCTCCGGGGATTGCGTACTCAGAGATAGCCAAGAAAGCTTCGGAATGCGGCCGCACCCAACTAGCTGTCAGGGTAGGAGACCTCATTTTGTTTGGACTCTGGAAATTCATCTTGTCACTTGAGGTTAAGCACGCGCCATTTTCCATGTGGAGCAACTGACCACATGTTGCTGTGTGTCTACTGTCAATAGAGTATTCAAGTTATCATGCATTCTTTTTTGTGCCAAGATATTCAGTATTTCTCCCCAGGGCAAGGGGAAATTAATAACCCTAAATGTGCTAGTTGCTGATACCGATTTCACACTTGTGGTTAATACTATTGAAGAACTGTGCTTACGTCCTTGAGCAAGATGCTGTATAGCATTGGCTTTGCACTCTGAAGAAGACATAAATCCTAAACGTTTGGCAATTTCTCACAAACCAACAATGATGGAAGCTCACTTAGATCATATTTGGAAATTTAGTCATTTGAAATATTAGTCTTCCATTGTTGGGAGAGATGAATAAGTGCCCCATTCAAGTTTCAATCCAGTGCATTTTTGAGAACATTTTTTTTGTCTTGCTTTGGATGCAGTTACTCGAATACGAGCCACGGGCAGCTGAACAAGTCCCACTCTTAATGACCATGAGGGATCAAAAAGTAGCCCTCACCAAAGCAATCGAGAGTGGGGATACGGACCTAGGTGAGAAACTGTGACTCTCAAGTATATTATGTTGATGGTATTGAGACGGCAGTTTAGTGGCCCTCATCAAAGCCGTTG